TAGTGAAAAATTTTGTTTTTACGGGTTAATTTTTTATTTGACCAGTTAAGGGACCACTGAGCTATGTAGCTCTTTGGCAGAAGTGACTTGGCCACAAACAATAGCCCCGACGAAGTGGGATTATCATCATCACCACGTGAATATTTATAGCAGCCAAGATACCCTAAATGTGTTGATGTTGATTGTAAATGTGGAGGGGAAAATCCGGAGGACCCAGAGAAAAATCCACGCGACCACAGCGAGAGAGAGAGAGACACGCAAATACCAAATATACAGCAGCAGGCGTCAGGGTCGGGATCGAACCCACGACCTCCTGTACCCTAGGCGAGGTAGTTAACATCTCCTAGCCACCGTGATGATGATGATAAGAGACACGCAAACACCAAATATACAGCAGGCGTCAGGGTCGGGATCGATTCCACGACCTCATGTATACCAGGCGAGGTAGTTAACATCTCCTAGCCACCGTGATGATGATGAGAGAGAGAGAGAGACACGCAAACTCCAAATATACAGCAGCAGGCGTCAGGGTCGGGATCAATCCCACGACCTCCTGCATACCAGGCGAGGTAGTTAACATCTCCTAGCCACCGTGATGATGATGATGATGAGAGAGACACGCAAACTCCAAATATACAGCAGCAGGCGTCAGGGTCGGGATCGATCCCACGACCTCCTGTACACCAGACGAGGTAGTTAACATCTCCTAGCCACCGTGATGATGATGATGATGAGAGAGAGACACGCAAACTACAAATATACAGCAGCAGGCGTCAGGGTCGGGATCGAACCCACGACCTCCTGTATACCAGGCGAGGTAGTTAACATCTCCTAGCCACCGTGATGATGATGATGATGAGAGAGAGAGACACGCAAACTCCAAATATACAGCAGCAGGCGTCAGGGTCGGGATCGATCCCACGACCTCCTGTACACCAGGCGAGGTTGCTAACATCTCCTAACCGTGGCAGCCCTCTTTAATTGTGACGGAGCAATCGTTGGCGAAATAATTAAATCCAAAAGGATGAATCCATGAGCTGATCACGTAAGAGAGCGATCCAAACCGCCCCGACCCCCGCCCTCACCGTTCCGTGCAATGAGGAAAGTGCTCAATAAGTCTGCGATGCATTCAGCCGCAGGGGTCAATTGATCCCCAATGCAATTTGCTCCTAAGGGCAGCCCATTGATATTTTGGTAAATCACTTTGCCAGTGGACATTCTGGTACGCTCGAACGAAGAATGGTGGTCACCGCATCGCCGCACGGCACTTTCAGGTGCGGCTTCCGCGGCCTTCCAGAAACCCTCTTTCCTTTCCGATATTAGAAAACCACCGCAAGCTACAGCACTTATAAAATCGTCAATTACATTCTAGATTTGAAGTTTTCGTGACTGCAAGGATTCATACCAGAGGTCGCAACCGGGTACCCGATACCCGTACCCTACCCGATACCCGTACCCTACCCGATACCCGTACCCTACCCGATACCCGGCTGGCTACGGGTACAGGTACCCGTTTGCGACCCTGGTGCGGCCGGGTACGGGTATGCCGTGAGTCACTGGTGAGTCACCGTTTGTCACTCATTTCCCAACGTCTTGTCTCTTCTCACAATTCAAGTTCCTAGAATCAACCCACCCGTGCCTGCAACATGGCTTCATCCCAGAGGTCGCAATCGGGTACCCGATACCCGTACCCTACCCGTACCCGGCCGGGTAAAGGTAGCCGGGTATCGGGTAGGGTACGGGTACGGGTAGGCCGTGAGTCACTGGTGAGTCACCGTTTGTCACTCATTTCCCAACGTCTTGTCTCTTCTCACAATTCAAGTTCCTAGAATCAACCCACCCGCGCCTGCAACGTGGCTTCATCCCAGAGGTCGCAATCGGGTACCCGATACCCGTACCCTACCCGTACCCGGCCACTGCGGCGGACAGTTTACAACTTGGGCACGTGGGTCGTAAGACGACACGCGGATGATTGATGGGAGAAGACACGGGGGTTTTCAGAACAAGACAAGGTGGTTCAAAATACATTTAATACGATATGCGCTAGAACTCAATTCGAAAGTGGAAATGAAATTGCCTGGGAGAGTTTAATTGAATATTCTACAATGAGAAAAAGGAGTTGAAGACTTTACCGAAAAAAACCCAAGAAAAAGGAGTTGAAGAAAAGCGACGTCCGAAAATGAAATCAGGGATCGGAATATTTCATATTCTTGGGTTTTTTTCGGTAAAGTCACGTAGGTAAAAAAATTAAATTAATAAAAGTAAAATAAAAATAAAATAAAAATCACGACGTCTCGGAGGCAACACAAGCTTCCGTCTTCAGGTGCAACCGTCACAGCGCGGTAGCTGTATTTATTAATTAAAAATTTTCCCCTACGTGACTTTACCGAAAAAACCGAAGAATATGAATCGTTGCAGTCCCGAAAGTTTCAAACCTGCCCAGAATGTTTGATTGCTACATAGCTCATGGGGCGAGAGGAGTACGTGGGTGGGTGGGTGGTGGTCTCTCTCAAACATCACAGGCCCTTCTCGCTCGTAGCCGGGTCTCCCTCCACACACCCCCCCTCCCCCCCCACACACTTTACGCACCGCCAAATGCCCTTACTCAGGCCTGCCACGTGGCTTTAAAAACAAGTATAACCCGTAAAAACAAAGTTTTTCACTCTAAATCCTTTATATGCGTGGCGGCTAGAGTCCTCTCGTCCTCTGGCTTGAGATGGCTGCCACCTATGGGTCAGATGATTGTCTGCCAGCATTAAGCAATTGGTAATTAAATATTTAAAATGTTTTCCCTAAACAGTGTAAAATTTTTGAAAAAATTTTTCACGAACATTAATTGTCTCGCACAACGAGTCTGTGTGCAAAATGTCAGCTCGATTGGATCACGGGAAGTGGGTTAAAAACGACCGAAAGATTTGCACGGTCGTAAGCAAGCAAGCAAGCACGCAAGCAAGCAAGCAAGCACGCAAGCAAGCAAGCAAGCGAACTTAATATAAAGGATTTAAAAAGAAAATCACGACGTTTCAGAGGCAACACAAGACGTTTCGCTGGTAATTGCATGCAGCATCATCGGCTATCAATTGCCACTTGATCGAGCCACTTAGTTATCATTTGTGGCCACGTCGCTTCTGAAAAAGGAGGCAATGGCTCAGCGGTCGCTACCTGGTAAGATAAAAATACGTAGAAGGAAAATAATAAAAATAAAACGTAATAAAATAATTCTCACGACGTTTCGGCCACAACGCAAGCAGCCATCCTCAGGTGAAGAACAGGTCTGTCGGAAAGACAGCATCTGAATGAACACCACCAGGCTTGGAGCGTATATTTAAGCTGGGTTGGAGGGGGAAGACCGCCTTGACAAAATAATTTGCATATCAAGAGGAATTTAGCATATGTATCTTCCCCCTCGAACCCAGCTTAAACATACGCTCCAAGCTTGGTGCTGTTTCATTCAGACGCTGTCTTCCCGACAGACCTGGTCTTCACCTGAGGACGGCTGCTTGCGTTGTGGCCGAAACGTCGTGAGAATTATATTTTATCGTGTTTTAAATTTTTATTATTTTATTATTTCCCTTCTACATGACTTTACCGGAAGAACCAAGAAGATGAATCCCTGCAGTCACGAAAGCTTTAAATCGAAAGATAAAAATAGTTACATTTTATTTATTTCTATTTTTAATGTGATTTGTTAACCTTCCCTATACTTTGTTTGTTGTTGCAACGTTCTGACCCCATGCCCCCTACTTGAAATCTGTGAAAAAATATCTTAATAGCCCATCAGGTTTCCTCCAGTATAAATACAATATTCAGATTCTCACTCATTATCATTCATTATTTTACAAAAGGACATTCCCGTGAGCAAATGCACCCCGGTACGCGTTTCAACGCCACCCTCCCGTACAAAGCTACCCCACGGCCACCTTGCAATCGTACATTCCATCACCTGCAGGCAAAACGTTTCGTGAGGATCATCGCGTCAGCATCGTTCACCCTGGGCGGGTAACCGACAATCCATTTTCGGGGGAAGCGACGGCTCAAAGGTTACCCAAAGAGTCTGGCTTGTAGGCCGGGCCACGGTCAAAAAGAGCGGGGTGGGTGGGTGACAACACTCAGGCGGGATGACACGGAGTCCTCGCCATGCGGGCCGGCTAGGCGGGTGCGAGCGACGTGACACAAAAAAGAAACGTGTCATCCGCGCCAAATCAACGAGCGCCTTTCATCCCCCCCGAATATTAGCGGGCCGGACGTACAATAGAGAAGCCGTTCTTTTCCCCGCGTGCAGAGCACGGAACGACCGAGCAATCAGGAGGGCGACTGTTTGGCAGCCGGGGGCCAATGACTATTTTATTGCGACGTAATTTATTTCAATTTTTTTTATGATAAAATAATAAAAATCTGGTTAAAGGCTCAGCATCCCCACGGTCGCTCGCTCACGCCCGCTGCCGGCGGAGGCTTTGGCGGGTAACTTGGTCTACTCTTCCACGTTGACCGGACGACGTGGTGGACAGCTGTTTGGGAGGTACCCGTGCGCCAAGCAACCTGCCGGTGGACAGGGCTACATTCATCTTCTTGGTTCTTTCGGTAAAGTCATCACGTAGAAGGGAAGTAATAAAATAATAAAAATAAAACATAATAAAATACAATTCTCACGACGTTTCGGCCACAACGCAAGCAGCCGTCCTCAGGTGAAGACCAGGTCTGTCGAGAAGACAGAGTCCACTTGAGGACGGCTGCTTGCGTTGTGGCCGAAACGTCGTGAGAATTGTATTTTATTATGTTTTATTTTTATTATTTTATTATTATTTCCCTTCTACGTGACTTTACCGCAAGAACCAAGAAGATGAATCCCTGCAGCCACGAAAGCTTTAAATCGAAATGTATTTTTATTATTTTATTATTTCCCTTCTACGTGACTTTACCGAAAGAACCAAGAAGATGAATCCCTGCAGTCACGAAAGAAGCTTTCAATCGAAACAGAACGTGGCCAATTCGTCGCTGACCTTCTGATGTCGGAGGTCCATGGTGAGGCGTGGGTCACGTGGCCTGCACGCGCCGTTGCCCTGAAGGCCCAAATCGGCGAGGAAGCTGGCCTGAACCACCTCCTTTTCCAGCATCCCCTTCACCAGCGCACCCACCGCATCATCCTCCAGTCCCGCTCCCACTTGCTCGAAGTACTCTGCAGGAGTAAAGTTGAACGCAAACTATAAACGAAACTTATTCCTGGTTAAATTTCGATTTCAAGCTTTCGTGACTGCAGGGATTCATCTCCCTCGTCACACATCGTCACAAATGTCTGACCCCCCTCCCCCCCCCCCCCCTAGGTGCGTGACGTCATTTATGGACGGCCCCAATACAAGAGGTCGCGGGTTCGATTGCGACCTGTGGTGCCTGTTCGATATTTGGATGTCAGAAGAGGCGTTGCCCTTCAAGGCCATGATGAAACAGTTCCTGTCAAGATGTTTAAACATCCAAACTGAAAACCTCTTGCAAGGAATCATGTGCTGCACGAACTACGCATTTCGATTTAAAGCTTCTTTCGTGACTGCAGGGATTCATCTTCTTGGTTCTTTTGGTAAAGTCACGTAGAAGGGAAATAATAAAATAATAAAAATTAACATAATAAAATACAATTCTCACGACGTTTCGACTGCAACACAAGCAATCATCATCATCATCAGGGGACCTTTCTTAACGGAATAAAACATAGTACAGGAATTTCGTTTCATCCTTTCAGGCAAATAAAACCGGAGGCGTTCAGATGTTAAAGCACCAAATATCATCAGGTGATGATTGCTTGTGTTGTAACTTCTAATTTAGCAATCTTTGGAAGAACGCAATAAGCCAGGTAGGGTGTTGACTGTTACGTTAGCCGACTCTCTGTGTTGTATTGCATTATATTTCTAAGTTTTCTCATTCATTCGTACCCGATGACGATTGCATGTGTTGCAATTGAAACGACGTATTGTTATTTTAATTTATTTTCTTTCTACGTGACTTTACCGAAAGAACCAAAAAGCAATGTTTTAATTGTTACTAGGTAAGGCCCCACTGAGACGCGTAGCTATTTTTCGGAAGTGACCTGGCCACCACAAATGACAGCTCACGCGAAGTGGCTTGTCATCATCACGCGGACATTTATAGCAGCAAAAAAAATACTCTGAACGTGCGGTGTTAATTCTAAATGTGGAGGGAGAACCCGGAAAGGCCCGGAAAAAATCCACGCGATCACGGGGAGAGAGAGACACGCAACATCCAAATATGCAAGCGTCAGGGTTGGGATCGAACCCACGACCTCCTGTACACCAGGCGAGGTAGTTAACATCTCCTAGCCACCGTGATGATGATGAAAGAGAGAGACACGCAAACTCCACATATACAGCAGCAGGTGTCAGGGTTGGGATCAAACCCACGACCTCCTGTATACCAGGCGAGGTAGTCAACATCTCCTAGCCACCGTGATGATGATGATGATGAGAGAGAGAGACACGAAAACTACAAATATACAACAGCAGGCGTCAGGGTCGGGATCGAACCCACGACCTCCTGTATACCAGGCGAGGTAGTCAACATCTCCTGGCCACCGCGACATTTGAACTCATGCCGTGACGACGGGCGCGCCATTGTATTTGATTGTTTTCGCGCGGAAATGGGCCGAAAGATAAACTACAACTCTGGAAGGATACAGTACTTCTGAATATCGAGCGCTTGGTTGGAGGAAGTCGAAACTATGGAGCAAGATTCCGAAATCTCCTATCCGCCAACACCGCCACCACCGCCCGCCACCGCCACCACCGCCACAACCACAACCACCGCCACCACCGCCACCCCATGCCCCCCACCCCCACCACCCTATGCGCTTGACCAGCGATACGCTCCGCTGCTCCCGACGCGATTGTCTGACTTGACCAGCTGATTGTGAAATTGCAGTCGTTGCACTGCAGCATCTAAGCGAGCGGTACGAAAGAAGAAGAAGGTTTGGCTGAGCTCAGCGCGTGCGTGTAATAAGGAGGGGGGGGGGGACGGGGCGCGCCGGTCATTTTACCGTCAAAGCTTTTGGGAGCTCGGCCCTCGGTTGTCCCGCATCCCGTCGCGCGACCGAACGGGACGTAAGAGTGCTCCGTTGCGTTCCCATGAGCCTCTGCTTCATCCGGCCAATCGTCTTCCAGCTCCAGCTTGAGTTTGCTGCTCAGCCAATTGGCGAGAAGCTCCTGGGCTGCGTTGGAAGAGAAACACGACAAATGGTTCGGTGGCAACTGTACGTGTGTAATGTGAGGACATATCCGGGTTGCTGATGGATCAAACCTCGTTGCGATGATTGGCTCTGCCGGTCCTGGCCCATAGCCAACGGAGGGAAGCCTAGGGGCGTGGCCCTGACGTAATGGGAAGGTGACAGCTGCAAGTAGATGATTGGTTCTGCTGGCTTTGGCCACAGCCAATGGGGAGACGAGTCAGGGGCGTGGCCCTGACGTCATGGTGACAGCTGTTTGTAGATGATTGGTTCTGCTGGCTTTGGCCACAGCCAATGGGGAGACGAGTCAGGGGCGTGGTCCCGGGAGCCTACGATGGAGTCTGGAAGATTCCATAGAGGCTAACCAGGATTGGTGGAAAGGTACCACGTGACCCGGGTATTAAAAGGGGTGGAGACGAACAACACGTGGTCAGATCTGGAACGAACGGAGGGTGAGGCCACGCGGGAGCGGGGTCCAGGCTGCCACGTGGTCCAGGCTGCCACGTGGTCCAGGCTGCCACGTGGTCCAGGCTGCCACGTGGTCCAGGCTGCCACGTGGTCCAGGCTGCCACGTGGTCCAGGCTGCCACGTGGTCCAGGCTGCCACGTGGTCCAGGCCGCCACGTGGTCCAGGCTGCCACGTGGTCCAGGCTACCACGTGGTCCAGGCTGCCACGTGGTCCAGGCTGCCACGTGGTCCAGGCTGCCACGTGGTCCAGGCTGCCACGTGGTCCAGGCTGCCACGTGGCCGTGCGTGTCTCTCTCTCTATCCCTCTCACGCTGTCTGTCAGCAGCGTGAAGGAGTAAGATGGGAGTGTTGTGAACGAAAGAAAAAATAAAGACCGGATTCCAGAAGTCGTTTCCACGACCGTTATTGCACATGGAGGAAAGCAAGCAGGAGGTTAACATGAACCTACAAGCGTCACGTTGCACGTTCAACACCGCCCAAGCTGACAAGCGCACGTCCGATCATGGCTAACGATAAAACAATTAACCCGTAAAAACAAAGTTTTTCACTATAAATCCTTTATATGCGTGGCGGCTGGAGTCCTCTCATCCTCTGGCTTGAGATGGCTGCCAGCTATGGGTCAGATGAATGCCTGCCACCATTAAGCAATTGGTAATTAAATATAATTTATTTTTTCCTAAAAAGTGTAAAATTTTGGAGAAAATTTTTTTTCACGAAAATCAATTGTCACGCACAACGAGTCTGTGTGCAAAATGTCAGCTCGATTGGATAACGGGAAGTGGGTTAAAAAACAACCGAAAGATTTGCACGGTCGTAAGCAAGCAAGCACGCAAGCACGCAAGCAAGCAAGCAAGCGAACTTAATACAAGTAAACCCGTAAAAACAAAGTTTTTCACTATAAATCCTTTATATGCGTGGCGGCTAGATTCTTCTCGTCCTCTGGCTTGAGATGGCTGCCACCTATGGGCCAGATGATTGTCTGCCAGTATTAAGCAATTGGTAATGAAATATTTAATTTGTTTTCCCTAAACAGTGTAAAATTTTGGAAATTTTTTTTCACGAAAAATAATTGTCACGCACAACGAGTCTGTGTGCAAAATGTCAGCTCGATTGGATCACGGGAAGTGGCTTAAAAAACGACCGAAAGATTTGCACGGTCCTAAGCAAGCAAGCAAGCACGCAAGCACGCAAGCAAGTGAACTTAATATAAAGGATTTAAAAAGATAGGGACGCGGAAGAAAAATCATGCTCACACCCTCCAACTTGGGGTTTGGTGGAGCCACGGTGGTGGGATGTTAAACGCCTCGCCTGGTATGCAGGAGGTCGTGGGTTCAAGCCCGAACCCCGAGGCCTGCTGCACGTTTGGAGTTTGGATTTTTCTCCGGTTTGTCCTTTTATAATTTAGAATCAACGCGAAATTCGGAGTGTTTGACTGGAATACAATTCCACGTGATGGAAAAGGCAGAAGCAGCCTATCACGATATAGCTGCTTGTCACGTGGTATAAACGATCCGATGCGTGTGGCATTGTCTTTGTGCTTTTCGCCTGTTGGCGTTGTTCTTTGCTCTGACACCGGTGGTGAGACTAGGCCATACAGAAGGCTGCTTCTGTCTCTGGTGTAGGCCAATCAGTTTCAAAGACAATGTCAATATATTATCATCATCATCAGAGGCGTGTTTGTTTGCATGTTCAGCGCCGGTACCGTGTGTGGTTAATGCAGTGAACTTGACTCCATGCAAAAGGCAATTTAGTTGCTGTTTGAAAATCTTAACAGCCCTTGTTTTATTGCCAGCAAAGGTTCAAACCTCTTCTTATTTTTCATCCTTTCAGCATTGCTGCTGTTGTTTTTTTGTAATCTCCAATTTTTGGGGAAACACTTTCGATCTAAATTCGTCCGGGCGTTTGTTTCTTCCCCCCCCCCCCCCGAAAGATTTAAATCCCTCCGTAAGCGCAACCACAACCCGGCAGCGAAATTGCAGTTCACGTGGCAGGCTCACGTTCACTGAAGTCATCATCGCTTCCTTCTTCTTTTGACCCCCATCCCACTCCCAACGGTACAACCCACCACCACCACCGCCGCCGCAACCGCACCCAGGTTGACAGCCAGAGGAAGAAAAAAGCAAACGATTGGGATTTGGAAATAAAAATGTGCTCGTGCAAAAAAAATAAAATGTAGTCGCAAAAAAATAGCTCGTGCAAAGAAAAAATGTGTGTTAGCAAAAAAGAAAAATTGCTCTCGCGAAACAAAAAACATTTAGTCGCAAGAAAAATATTGCTCGTGCAAAAAAAAAAAATATTGTCGCGAAAAAAATTGTTCGCGCAAAGAAAAAAAAACATGCAGTCGCAAAAATCTAAATGTGCTCGTGCAAAAAAAAATGTAGTAGCAAAAAAAAATATTGCTCGTGCAAAAAAATATAGTCGCAAAAAAAATTGTTTGTGTAAAAAAAAACATGCAGTCGCAAAATGTAAAATGTGCTCGTGCAAAAAAAAAATGTAGTCGTAAAAAAAAAATTTGCTCGTGCAAAAATAACATTTAGTCGCAAAAAAAAGTTGTTCGTGCAAAAAAAAAAAATTGGTCGCGAAAAAAATTGTTCATGCAAAAATAACAAAATCACGTAGTCGCAAAAAAAATGTTGCTCCCAAAATTAAAGAGTGCAGTCGTAAACAAAAATTGGCCGTGCAAAAAAAAAGTAGTCACAAAAATAGCTCGTGCAAAAAAAAACAATTAGTCGCAAAAAAAAGTTGGTCGTGCAAAAAAACACATTTAGTCGCAAAAAAAAGTTGTTCGTGCAAAAAAAAAAATATTCAGTCGCGAAAAAAATTGTCCGTGCCAAAATAACAAAAGTACGTAGTTGCAAAAAAAAATTGCTCCCGAAAAAAAAAGTGCAGTCGTAAAAAAAAAATTGCCCGTGCAAAAAAACTAAACAAAACATGCAGTCGCAAAAAAATAAATTACCGGAGCCATCGCAGTGCATGCTGTGCAAACCACGACGTCACGATTGATTGATAATAATCAGAGGTGGCTGAGTTGTGGAGAGTGGAGGGAGGGGGGCAGGAGGTGGGTGGAGAAGGGGTGAGTCTCTCAGCTGTAATTATATCAGGTGGTTCAGCGGCAGAGGTCGCAAACGGGTTTTGATTCCTTACCCGTACCCGGCCGCACCAGGGTCGCAAACGGGTACCCGTACCCGGCCGTACCCGTACCCTACCCATACCCAGCCGGGTACGGGTAGGGTACGGGTATCGGGTACCCGATTGCGACCTCTGGGATGAAGCCATGTTGCAGGCGCGGGTGGGTTGATTCTAGGAACTTGAATTGTGAGAAGAGACAAGACGTTGGGAAATGAGTGACAAACGGTGACTCAGCCAGTGACTCACGGCCTACCCGTAGCCGTACCCGGCCGCACCAGGGTCGCAAACGGCTACCCGTACCCGGCCGGGTAAGGGTAGCCGGGTATCGGGTAGGGTACGGGTATCGGGTAGGGTACGGGTATCGGGTAGGGTAGGGTACGGGTATCGGGTACCCGGTTGCGACCTCTGCCACCCAGCCCGCAATCGGAAGGAGATGAAACTCCGGGCCGGGGTCACCTGCTGCTTCTCTCCCGTTTCCCTTCCCGGCGATCTCCATCGAACGTGCAAACGGGCGTCGTCAGGGTGACAGGTTCGGGATCGAACGCGCGAGACCTCCTGCGTAACCAGGCGATTGGGAGCGACGGGGCGGTAAGATTTCCCATCAGACCGCAGCGTCCCCGCCCTCACCTTCGCTGTACGTGTCGTCGTGGTCGCGCAGTCGAGCGGCGGTCAGGGCGTGCGGCGTCGTCGCTGATGCGGTCCGACCCGGAGCGCCGGTGACGGGGAGCGCCGGGACCCGTGGCACGTCGGGATCGGACGCGCGCTCCGCTGTCTGGTGGCGCGCGAGGAGGCGGGGGCAGAGAGAGAGAGACCCGCAGAATCGTAGACACACATAGACTGATAGAGACTCATAGACTCGCACAGAGACCCATAGACTCACACAGAGACCAGCAGAATTGTAGACACACATAGACTCATAGAGGCACATAGACTCAGAGGCCTATAGACTGATAGAGACCCACAGACTCATAGAGACCCATAGACTCACATAGAGACCCGCAGAATCGTAGACACACATAGACTCATAGAGACTCACAGACTCACACAGAGACCCATAGACTCATAGAGACCCATAGACTCACATAGAGACCCGCAGAATCGTAGACACACATAGACTGATAGAGACTCATAGACTCGCACAGAGACCCATAGACTCACACAGAGACCAGCAGAATTGTAGACACACATAGACTCATAGAGGCACATAGACTCAGAGGCCTATAGACTGATAGAGACCCACAGACTCATAGAGACCCATAGACTCACATAGAGACCCGCAGAATCGTAGACACACATAGACTCATAGAGACTCACAGACTCACACAGAGACCCATAGACTCATAGAGACCCATAGACTCACATAGAGACCCGCAGAATCGTAGACACACATAGACTGATAGACTCACAGACTCACACAGAGACCCATAGACTCACACAGAGACCAGCAGAATTGTAGACACACATAGACTCATAGAGGCACATAGACTCAGAGGCCTATAGACTGATAGAGACCCACAGACTCATAGAGACCCATAGACTCACATAGAGACCCGCAGAATCGTAGACACACATAGACTCATAGAGACTCACAGACTCACACAGAGACCCACAGACTCATAGAGACCCATAGACTCGCACAGAGACTCATAGACTCACACAGAGACCCACAGACTCACACATAGACCCATAGACTCACAGAGACCCACAGACTCGCACAGAGACCCATAGACTCACACAGAGACCCGCAGAATCGTAGACAAACATATATATTTTTTATTATTATTTAAAATAAAAATTTTAATTCATTTTTTTAAAATTATTTTTGCCTACCGGCACCACCACGCCATCCGTCATTAGGCGGCTAACGCCACAAAAAATTGCCCCAACAGCCTGCATGGCCACACGTGGCAAAAGCAGGGGGGCATTTGCCTCGGCCGCCCCCCCCCCAACTCCACCGCCCCCCCCCGCCCCACCGTCTTTTAGCTGTGGTCAGGAGCGGGTAGCAGACAGCCGCGTAATCATTCAGGTCTGAGACTCTGTGGGCCTTCCGTTGATGAATGGCGCCATCCGTGCCCGGGACGCTCCGAGGTCTCGTTGAGCAGGTCCCGACACGGAGGGAGCGCTGGATTTTGACGAAAAACCTGGAGCTCCTAACCCTCCCCCCCCCCCGCATAGCCCGTGACCTTGCGTGAGAGAGGTCGTGTACGATCAATGGGGCAGACGTTGGCGGTCGGGATTTACCGGCAGTCTTTTGGGGGTCGCACGGCGGCAGAGAGATGTTAACTCCCTCCCCGTGGTACGCAGGAGGTCGTGGGTTCGATCCCGACGCTGACGCCTGCTGCTGTATATTTGGAGTTTGCGTGTCTCTTTTGCTCCCCGTGGAGATGTTAACTCCCTCCCCCTGGTATACAAGAAGTCGTGGGTTCGATCCCGACGCTGACGCCTGCTGCTGCTGTATATTTGAAGTTGGCGTGTCTCTCTCTCATCATCACGGTGGCTAGGAGATGTTAACTACCTCGCCTGGTACACAGGAGGTCGTGGGTTCGATCCCCACGCTGACGCCTGCTGTATATTTGGAGTTTGCGGGTCTATCTCATCATCATCACGGTGGCTAGGAGATGTTAACTACCTCGCCTGGTACACAGGAGGTCGTGGATTCGATCCCGACCCTGACGCCTGCTGCTTTATATTTGGAGTTTGCGTGTCTCTCTCTCTCATCATCATCACGGTGGCTAGGAGATGTTAACTACCTCGCCTGGTATACAGGAGGTCGTGGGTTCGATCCTGACGCTGACGCCTGCTGCTGTATATTTGGAGTTTGCGGGTCTCTCTCATCATCATCACGGTGGCTAGGAGATGTTAACTACCTCGCCTGGTACACAGGAGGTCGTGGATTCGATCCCGACCCTGACGCCTGCTGCTTTATATTTGGAGTTTGCGTGTCTCTCTCTCTCATCATCATCACGGTGGCTAGGAGATGTTAACTACCTCGCCTGGTATACAGGAGGTCGTGGGTTCGATTTTGACGCTGACGCCTGCTGCTGTATATTTGGAGTTTGCGTGTCTCTCTCTCATCATCATCGTCATCACTGTGGCTAGGAGATGTTAACGACCTCGCCTGGTGTACAGGAGGTCGTGGATTCGATCCCGACCCTGACGCCTGCTGCTGTATATTTGGAGTTTGCGTGTCTCTCTCTCTCATCATCACGGTGGCTAGGAGATGTTAACTACCTGGCCTGGTACACAGGAGGTCGTGGGTTCGATCCCGACCCTGACGCCTGCTGCTGTATATTTGGAGTTTGCGTGTCTCTCTTTCTCTCTCTCATCATCATCACGGTGGCTAGGAGATGTTAACTACCTCGCCTGGTGTACAGGAGGTCGTGGATTCGATCCCGACCCTGACGCCTGCTGCTGTGTATTTGGAGTTTGCGTTTCTCTCTTTCTCTCTCTCCCCGCGGACGCGTGGATATTTCTCCGGCGGTCCTGCGGTTTCGCCCTCCACGTTTAGAATCAACGTCGCGCATTTAGAGTATTTGGCTGCTAAATATGAATGTCCACGAGATGTTGATGATGATGATAAGCCACTATCGTCGAGTTATCATCTGCAATAGCCAGGTCGCTTCTGAAAAAGAGCCGCATCGCTCAGTGGGACCTTACTACCTTGCAATTTGTTTAAATTCTTCGTTGACAAGGTAAGGTCGACCGAGTTGGAATTAAATTTTTAAAACTGTCAAAAGGAAAAAAATGACAGCGGCGACGATAATACTCAGTGGCAAAATACAAGAAAAACTCACAATGATGGCAAATCTTCTTGGTTCTTTCGGTAAAGTCACGTAGAAGGGAAGTAATAAAATAATAAAAATAAAACGTATAAAAATAATGAAACTAAAAATAAAAAAATAATACAAAAATAAACCATTATAAAATAATAAAAATAAAACATAATAAAAGAATCAAAATAAAACATAATAAAATTATAAAAATAAAACAATAAAATTTTGATTTAAAGCTTTCGTGACTGCAGGGATTCATCTTCTTGGTTCTGTAATGCGGTTGTAAACGGCCCTTCTGAGGTGCCGTCAGGGGGGGAGGAGTTAGGTCACGTGGGGGGAGAGGGGTTGAGTATAGAAGGAGGGGAACCGGAAGAGCAGGGAGAGTGACTGGGAGCCAGGAACAGAGGAAGGCCACGTAGGGCGAAGCGGGGTGTGGCGAGATCGCCACGAACACGGGGGAAGCGAGGATCGGCACCGTTGGCCAGCGGTGACCGACCCGAAGCAGCAAGGAGGCTGCAGTCAGCAGCGGGGCTGCACAGAGAGAGTGGGCAGCGGGTCTGCATACAGTGACAGCCAGAGGGTCTGCACATAGGGGTAGCAGCGAGTCTGCAGGGAGGAGGTTACAGTAGATGAAGCAGAGAGTCAGAGGGGTGAGGGAGCTATAATAGCAGTGAATAGCCGGGGGCTACAAATACAGGAGTTATAACAGCGTGCCGTGTGGGTAAAGACGTGAACCTGAATAAAGACACGAAGACAGAAAGAAGTGTTCGAGTCCTTTTATTACACTGGAGTCAGAAGTGAAACGGCATGGCGAAACAACTGAGGAAGAAGAATATCCCATCTCCGGCGTCGGCTTCATCATCGGACGACGACGATCTTCCTCCTGAGGTCGGCTTCACTTCGGCGGAGGGAGAGATCCGTGAGGGCCCGGGTGTGGAGGAGGTTGCCGCTGCGTCCGACCCATCTGCGTTGAAGGACGAAGATTTAAGATGGACCCGGATGGCGGAGCAACTGGCGACCCTAAAAACCGTCATCACGGAGTTGTGTGACCTTGTCACGCCAAGGGCGGCGTTGGTAGGTGATGGTGGTGATCGGCAGGAGCCCGGGTCGTCTTCGATGGCGCCGCCATCGACCACGCGGCGTGAAGACGCCATCTTGGGCGTGGCGCACCACGGAAGGCGGGAAGCCGCCATTTTGGGGCCGCCACGAGGATCGTCCGCCATCTTGGAGACACCGCGTTGCGACGCCTTGCTGAACTTGCCGCCGGAAGAGTCGGTGACGGACGGAAGCAGGCCAAGGAGCCGCAGTCGTCACCTTACAACTGTTAAGGAGTTCTCCATCGGGGGCGATTGGAGTGCGTTCGCTTGTCGATTTTTGGCGGCGGTACGAACGGCAAGGTGGACGGACGCCGAGGCGCTGGAGGTGCTTCCGACTCTCCTTGACGATGAGTCTGTTCGTTTTTTTCGCTCTATAAAAGCTGCGAAGAAGAAAACATTGCGTGGAGTGTTCGACGAAATGGCGGACGCGTACGAGCCACCGGATGACGCCCATCGCCGCTTCGTGCAGCGGCAACGCGCACCGGAGGAGTCGCCTGTAGCGTACAGGGGCGCCGTGCTGGAACTCGCGATGGCCGCTTACCCGGAGACGGAGCCTGACCTGCTGGAACCTCTCATCTTGGGGAAGATGTTAGAGTTATCCCGGGATCTGGGCATTCCTATGCCGGCGTGCGGTCACGAGAAACTCACGTCCCGGACCGCGGCCAAGTGTTTGGACGCCCAGTTCAATCTCCGCCGCTGGAAACAAGTCACGGCGTGGACGGGCGGTCCTGTCGTCGATGGGGGGGCCGTAGGGTGGGACCCTACAAAGGCCGTGTACGTGCCGGATGCGACCGGCCCAAAGGAGCTGTCGGCCGCCTCCACTCCGTGGCCGGCTCGAAGCGAGCCGGGGCCGCGGGCTCCGCCGCCGGCGCGGCCACGTCGGGACGGGGTGCCTGCTGCGCGCCGACCCGACGTCGACTGTTTCCGCTGCGGCCGTCGGGGCCACTATGCCAGGGACTGCTGGGCCCGGGTTCCGGGGCCGCCCCAGCAGGAGGCCTCGATCGCGGACGTCCCAAAGAAAGACCCTCCGGCACAGGCAAGTCGGTGCGCACCAGACACCCGGCAAGGCCTGACACCTCACTCATCGCCGTTGTTGTGCGACGCGGATGTTCTAAAATATGGGAGGCCAGTATCTGCGCCTTGTCGCTCGATAACGCAGTGGCGTAAGTTGGCTCGGCGGGTTGTCGCGGCCGCTACAGGTTCGTCCACTGTACCGGGGTCGATCCAAGGGGTGGACGTGCGTATTTTGGTGGATTCCGGGGCGTCCGCGACCATTATTTCGGATGTCATATTCCATCTTTTGAACATCCCACCGGGGGCCGTGAGGCCGGCTTACGCTTCCTGCATCGCTGCGAACGGGGGTAGTATGGGCATCGTGGGACAGGTGGACGCTAATATTTCTATCGGGGGGGTCTCGGCCTCGGGCGTTGTGTTAATTTCGAGGTCCCTGGCGGTTCCTTGCTTGTTGGGCACGGATTTTTTGGCTAAGATGCCCATTTTAATTAGAATCAATGAAAATTGCATTGAACTGCCAGGGGGCCGCAAATTGGCGTTTTTACAGTCCACCTGGGGGCGACCGGCTCCGGTTGCCCAGGTGCAGGCGTTATCGGAAGTTTCAGTTGATATTCCACCTGGCTCGCAGATGCTCATTCCCCTACGATACCGGAAGCCGGTTCCGGGTCGGCAGAGTGCTTGTGGAATTTTGCTGTCGCCGTCCGCCGCTGTTACGGGCGGATTGGCACTGGTGGGGGCGCAAACCATTGTCCGTCCGGATCAGCGCCCGTTTTTGCAGGTGTTAAATGCGACTTCTGAAAGCGTGTGTGTGCCGGCTGGTACCGTTGTGGCACACGCCACTACGGCGTTTACGGCTCAGAGTGACATTCCGGACGGGGGGCTGGTGGGTGGTGTTTCACACGACGGAGGGGTGGACGATCGTTGGATCGCCGAATTATGTGCGGAAAATTCGGCCCTTTCCGCTGAGCAGCGTTGTGCGATTCATAAATTATTAGCGAGCTATTCCGATGTGTTTAGCTCGGACGATTTGGACTTGGGACGCACCTCGCTGCTCTCTCATCACATCGAAACGGGGGACGCGGCCCCTATCCGCTTGAACTCGCGTCGGATGAGTCCGGCTGAGCGTGAGCACGTTCGAGGGGCAGTGGAAGACATGTTGAAAGCGGATATTATATCTCCGTCTAATAGCCCGTGGGGTGCGCCTGTCGTGTTGGTTAAAAAGAAAGATGGTAAATTACGATTTTGTGTGGATTTTCGGAAGTTAAATAAAGTGTCGGTGGCAGATGCGTATCCCCTGCCGCGTATGGACGATTCTCTCGACGCCTTGTCAGGGGCTAAGTTTTTTTCAACGCTAGATCTCTCTTCGGGCTTCTGGCAGC